TTGAATGCCCAATCTGCAAGAACGTTTCCATTGAACCCTGGCAGACATCGTGTGGGCATCGATTCTGTAAAAACTGTTTTGAAGGTCTCTTTAGGTAAGTCTCGAAATTTTTCACTCCCTTTAACGTCATCATTGTATGCGGACAGAAACAGCAAGCCGGCTTTACATAGTTATAACTGTATCCCGGTCGCCGGATCCCGGTAAGTAAACTAATTAGTATTTTCAGTAGTGCCCAGTAATAAACAAATTTCAGTTATTTACTTCCTGACGTTCTTCAGGCTGGGGAATTCCAAATGTCCAATCGATGGAGAACCGATTTCGCGAGAGGAATCCTTCCGGGACAAATGTTGTGAGAGAGAAGTACTTAATCTTCAGTGTTTCTGTCGACATAAGGAAAGAAGTTGTGATTGGAAGGGAGAACTCAGACACTTAGAGGTATTTAGGAACGATCAACCATAACATTATTTCAACGTAATTGTACTACGATTCCCACTTTAAAGTACTTAAGTCCTTTTAAGGGAACTCCCTACCCCTGTGCTATTAAAGAACCTATTGATGGGGCTTTATAAATCAAAGGCAATATTATTCGTGAGAAAGCAACCTTACGTGACTTATCAAGCCCGTTCGAGAACATTCGTGATCCCTGGTTAAGATTTTTTCCCAGCATATTTGAATAAAACTCATCACATATCATATGAAGGCTTTCTCGTAAAGAAAATAAAATAAATAAATAAACGGAGAGACCGAATTTTATTGCTTGTCAGCAAGCCGATGGAGAATTGAGAGCTTCGTTTTAAGGCCGGCTCAAAATAGTTATTTGAGGTTACGCAATGTCATTTGTTGAAAAGCAGTGAAATAGGCAGGGGAACGATTAAGAGCTAGAAATACAAACTTTAGGGTTCAGGTTTTAACTGTTTTGTGAAGGTGGATTTGCTTTCCGTTGGTGTGGTTATCAGCTGGAGTTAACACAACAGGATATTCGATTGAGTCCTTCTGAGAAGTCACGCAACGCTCCAGGGAGCCTTGCGTGACTTCGGCCCGAGCAGATGCGAAGTGAGACTGCGTTAAAGCAAATGTATAAATACTACTACTACTACCACGACGACGACGACGACGACTACGACGACTACTACTACTACTACTACTACTACTACTACTAGTACTAGTACTACTAGTACTACTGCTACTGCTACTGCTACTGCTACTGCTACTGCTACTGCTACTGCTACTGCTACTGCTACTGCTACTGCTACTGCTACTGCTGCTGCTGCTGATGATGATAACAATAATAATGAAAAAGATATCAAAGAGCCCTATAACTTAATGAATCGCAGGTCTCACAATTAATCTCTTAATGCATAGAAAGTCATTAAGCGTACAAATGTTCAAAACTTAATTTATTCCAACAGGCACACGAGGAAAGCTGCCAGTATGGTGACACACAGTGTGCAGCCTGTGGTGAAACCATGGAAAGAAGACATCTCAAACAGCACAGGGAAAATGACTGTGTAAACAGGGCTGTTGCCTGCACATACTGTGATGGGGAGGTTCGTCAAAGCAACATGAAGGTATGTGTTTTAATAATAAAGCAGTATATTTAAGCGGTTGAGTTGTAAAAAGGACTAGTGCAGCCAATAATTTATATAAATATAGTTTAACCCCTCCTTGAAGAGGCCCCCTTTATTCATAAACCTAGCTAACGAAACACCATGATTCCGCGAATTTATAATACACCATACACATCCTTGCGCTTACTTTATAACTTCTCGGGCAAAAAATACAAATCTTTTGATAGACGATCTGGCTAAATCTGTTTGGATGTAGCAGGCCGTTTTCGAGCTCATGTCTAGGTCAATGTCTTGTGTTATAGAGTGCTGCACTTCATTGTCTTTACTTAGTTCCCCACTCTAAAAAGCAAAAGAGAGTCGAGGATGGTAAACTTGTTATGGACTAGCATCCATTCACGGGGAGTAGTAATATTCTCACGTCACTTCATACCACCAAAACAACAACAACATAGAACATACCTATACATTAAGGATGTACGACTCGAAATGCTGCATAGAACCAAGAGACCAAATCGCAATTTGGCCACGTGGAACAGGAACTTACACACTAGCCAGATAGCTTGAATTCAATCAGGCCAGGAGAATGGTCATGAATTTTATAGAATAAACATTTTGAAACTAAAGCTGGGGTAGAGATAGCGCAGAAAACTCAAAATGGACAAAAGAATCATAAGTATATCCTTTCAAGACATGCAAACAGTTATGCTAAATTAAACATGTGCAGGTAGGTAATCAAATAGAACACTTGCTATAGTCTTAAAAAAGGCTTAGACTAATCAAATTGTATAATATTTTTAGGATCATTTGGAGATCTGTCTCAAGTTTCCCATCAGCTGCATTCTAAGCTGTGGCAAAGAAGATATACCGCGTGGCATGATGGAGGAGCACGTGACCACTCATTGCCCAAAAGCAGAACATTTGTGTCCTTTCAGTTGTTATGGCTGTGAATCTAAGGTGAGTTTATTGTTTAATTCTTTTTTATACATGCATTTGTCTTTGAAAAGCTAATTGTGGGAAGATGAGTTTAATTCCGGCTTTCAGGACCCTCTACATTGTGCTCAGGGCTTCACCTGAGCAAATTTCTGGAGAAACTTGGCACTGATATTATAAAATGGTTGGAGTTAACCAATGGTGGGCTGGCATCCCATGATATATTAAATTATTCATTTAATCGATAACTTTATATCATAAAACAAAGAATGATTTAACTTAACACCCACCTAAGACTGCAGTGGGGTTGCTGGAAACCTGGGCAGGGTACATAGTAAAACCATTACCGACTGACAGTCCATGTTCTTTTACTGTCAAAACCAAAGACACTTAAATTATTAAGTAAGCCTTATGTCAATTTCCTTCCTGCATTGCAGGAATAAAAAGCAAAAAGAAATCATATCAATTTTCTCATAATAATTCTGTTGAATCTTTACAGGGAAATGCAGAACACCTTGCTCAGCATACCAAATCCAGTATTGAGTCCCATCTGGATATGATGAACTACTCGACTCACGAGCAAAACAAGAAGAACAAAGAGATGGAAGAGAAAGTCTCTCGTCTTGAAAACGAAAAAAGGACTTTGGAGCAACAACTTCAAAATCAAACCGAAGAACTGGCGGCTGCCAGACAGAACATACAAACGCAGCACACAAAAATATCCA